ATTTACCCCATGGGCTTTGCTGAACCAGCCCCAAAGGCTTCACAAGTGGCCCTGGAGCACAAGACGAGGCAATTCCAGGCTTTGTAATCACTGCCCTGGCACTGTTGAACAGCATTTCCCTCCACCACAGCTCCAAGCCCGTTGCTGAACACCCTGTTGGTGGAGGGAAATAGCTGAACTCTTCACCTTTAACTTCATCCTTTCAAAGGTTGTTTTTCAAGTGAGAAAACAATCTGAAGAATTCCAGCATCCTCAAAGCCTTAGGTTGAAGTGCCCAGCTCCTCAATGGAGCCACCACTTTGGTGGGACCTTCAAGCCCATCTCTCACCCACTGGCAGGGGCTGGGAGTGCTCCTGGACTGGCTTTGCATGCTGGCATGGGAGAAAGAACTAGGAAAAAGAAGGAAGATGGGCACCAGCCTCTCATGAGCAATAGACTGGTCTAGAAACAAGCAAGAACTTGTTCAGACATTAGATCTTTAGGACTTGCTCGCTCTGCTCCCGGAGCACACAGATGACTAAGGGGCTGCCAGGCTCATCCAAGTCCCCTCTATCAGAAGAGTGAAACCCCAACAATGCATCTGGAGCTGTGGATTGGGGTTTTCACCCCTGTTTTGTTAACCCTGCTTAAATCAGCTCCTGGTAAGCATCTGGGCATGGGGATGGCTGCAGAAGGCAGGGTTCTCACTCTGAAGAGTAGAAACCTTTGGTTCTCAAGGCCTTGGAAGTCTTCCTATAGAGATAAACCAAAATCAAATAAAAACTGAATAAGGCATCTTTGGTATTTCTACAGTTACAAAGGTGGGGAACAAGGAAAAAGAAGGTTTCCTGTCCTTCACAAACACACAGCTACATAAATCACATGAAGACTGTATGACAAGCCCTCCTCCCAGACTCACTGCTCTCTTCCTGGCTGGTTGCAGTAAAACCATCTGCCATGAGAAGCTCCTGAAACAACTTCTCAGCAAGAGAAAGGGAATATCACATCTGAGAGACCTTCTGCTCACCTTCCTGGTGCCTTTTCTAAGCACCAAAGCTAAGAGTAGCTCAGTATTAGAGCTAGCCTAAAGAGTGTGAGCACACCAGCATTACACATGCAGAAGCTGCACAGAGCAGCCTGAGGCTCGAGCATGCCAGGAACTGTACAAACTCTGTCATTCCTGTTCCTGAACGCTTCCAGCCTGGAAGGGTGAGAAACTGAGGCACAGGGAGGAGCAGGAG